ATGCTGAAGCATAAGAACTGCTTTTATTCTTACAGCACTGGACAGGAGCTCCAGCTTTGGCCATTAGCAGTAGTGACCTCAGGCTGTCCTGGGGCTGGCCTCAGACCTCCTCAGACCTTTGCTGCCTTTGTTTCCATCTTTTCCATAAAAACCCAGAGAGGGATTGCAGTTTGCTGTGCCTGCTTTTAGATTTTCCCGGCAGCAGCGCAGCGTTATTCCTGTGCAGGCTCTTTGCTAAAAGGAGCTTTTGTGGGGCACCAACAGCTCCTGACCCTCAAGGGAAGTGGCCTCGGTGCTGTGTGTGGTCCCACGCTCTCCAAGGCTCTTCCTCTCCCCACAGGAGACAAAGTGACCCCAGTGGGGTCGTGCAGGCGGCGGCGCGGAGCCGCGAGCGGCCGCCGGGCCGGGCAGCGGATGTTGGGGTTGGTGATTCACAGGGGCAGGAAACCAGCAACTGCAACGAGCCCTGGAGGAACCAGCCCCGGCAGCTGGAGGTGTTGGAGCAGCTGGGACACTTCAGGGACAGCAGCTGAGCCTGTGGGTAAGGTGGGCGAGGGAGGGAGGGATGGGCAGAGGAAAGCGCCCGGAGGTGTTTGGAGCTCCTGTGGGGACAAGTGGGGGGTCCCACTGGGCTCAGAGATCCCATGTCAGACCTTGGAGAGCCTTTAAAGAGGTTCAAGGTCATCCCTGTCAAGCCTCTCTGAAGAGCAACATGGTGGATGCTCCCTCCTCACTGCTGCTCCTGGCCATCACCAGCTCCAAGGTAGGAATTTCCACCTCTCTCTTCCCAGCAGCATTTAGACCCCTCTGGACCCGAGATGAGCCCATCCCACACAACCTGGGTTGCCTGTTTTACAGTACTGTACTTTACATCTCCTCATCCATCTGCTGGTGGAAGCGTGGGTTTAATTACATTATTTCTGCATTCACATCTTCTAAAATATTCTGGAAGATTCAAGTCTGTGCTGAGCTTCCCTCATCCCTGCATGGTCCTTCTTCTGGCTCCTGCCTGTGGCTTCTGGGACTGCTGCAGCCCACGCTGCTCCCCCTCCAAAGCCCAGTCCTTAAAAATAACCGATTCAAACAACACTTCCTGGGTTTTCCATTGATTTCAGAGCTGACTGGCATCATGGATATGAATGTATTTCTTTCACTGCATGTAAGTGCTTGAAATAGCTGATTCTAGATAGAAGGAGATTTGGTTTTGCATCAGTTTTCTCTTGTGTGAATAATGTTTGGTGTAAGACGGGCCACGAGTCAGATAATTTAGCAGAAGAGGATAATTTGGGGATAATCTTGCATGAGATTGGCTCATTTTCGTGGTTCTGGAGTCCGTAGTTACACAGGGGTTTCCTGTATTGCTAACATGGGGGCTCCCAGTGGAGGTGAATGATGCTGGGAGGCTTCAGTGCTGCCTGGAACAGTTGGAAATACAAGATATGTCTGTGAGTTACCTTCTTGTGCCGCCATGCCTGGTGTGATTGGGGTTTTGCACTGTATTTTCCACCCAAGGTTTTTTTAAAGCATTTCCAAAGTTATAATCTATGTGGAAGTTGGTGTATCAATTCTAACTGTCCCCTTTTATCGTATGTTCTACTGAAATGCATCCATGAAATATTTCTATTGGCATGAAAGCCTGATCTGCCTGAATGGCTGTAAAAACCCCAGATTTTTACTCTATGGCAGCAGCCTTCCTAAGAAGCCTGACACTGGCATAAATCTGGTAGGAAATGAGATGTGCAGACTTCTGGAAAGGAGCTTTTCTGAAGGCTCAGTGCTGGTCATTGAAGTCATTCCAGCCACAGGAGCTTCCTTGGTCTGAGACTTTAATTTCTGAATTGATGGGACTTTCTGTGGCAATCTGTGCCACACGGGCAAGCAGAAAGTGGAGCTGCTTTTCTTAGACATGTTAGAGACATTGACTCAAGCTGAATATTGCATCTGTTCAACAAGTCAGTGTGCCGAATTTCATATGGTGAGTCTTTAAATACACTCTCCACTTCATATTTCATAGCAGTGACTCATCCTACCAGCCTGAATTAGAATTAATTTACTGCAAACTGGTGCAGACCACAAAACTTACTGCAGGGGAGAGAAAGTGACTGGTTTATATTTGCCTTTTGGGCATTTTTTGATTGATAGAATACATAATATAAATACATAAAGTACATAATATAAATACTTTATTTTAGTCTTTATCTTGCAATGTGAACTGGGGGTGGGCTTCACATCTGCAAAGGGCTGAAATGTCTTCATCAGAAATTATCTCATGGAAAACCAGGTATTGCTGAGGCCACACCAACACATTCCTTACTCTCCTGGTATCTCAGCAAAAGTTAAAGTTCACTTTAAGTGCTCTTGCAGGTTTTTTTAGTGAGCTTTGTGCGTTTTTTGCTGCTTTTGGGAAGTTCTTCCAAACTTTCCATCCATTAGGAATTTTATTTCTAGCCTGTGCATATCTGGCTTATATCCACTCATTTTATAAGCCAGAATTGTCTTATTTCAATTCCAAAGTTTTTCTCACTTTGTTGTTCTGCTCTTGGGCAGATGGACAGTGAGTGTCCATGTCCTCTTACTCTCCATTTCAGGGGAATTAAAAGCAGAAGACCTTTTAGTCTTCCTGGATAAAACCACCTCTTCTTCCTTTGGATCTTCATATTGAGCCTTGTTACTGGAGTGAATCCTTAAATTAGGACAAGACCTGGCACAGAGTAGATAAACTTTCGCTAGTTCATTAATTTTTCCAAATTTTTTTTTTTTTTTTTTAGTAAGAAAAAGGCTGTCTCCTTGATTGCTAAAAATATCTGAGGCCAGAGAAGGAGCAGCCCCTGTTTGGGAAGACCAGACCACAGCTGTATCCAGAGTCCAGCGTGGTGCTCTCCCAGGAACTGCTTGTCTGGAGCAGCTGTTCCTGAGGGATTGGTGGGGTCAGGTGCTCGGGGTGTGCCCTGCTCCCACCAGCTTCCTCAGCACAAAAAAATGGAAAAACAGGCAAAAGGAGAAGAGAGAGGTGCATGAACAGAACAGGGCATTGTGACACCATCCAAGTGACACTCCTGAACTGGATGGGAACCTGTTTTCTCCCCGAGTTTGGGTTTAGCATCTTGCAGCAGGCTGGCCATCCATGAACTGCACACGTCCTCGTGTGCAGAGTCTGTCTGTTCTGCTCTCCAACTCCCCAAGGCAGAGCACAGGGAAGCACATTCAGCCTTCCAAATATTTTATTTATATCCTGCTAGCCGTGAGTAAGTGCTTCCAGCCTTCTGCTTGTCATAAATCTGTTCATCACCTCCTTCTGTCAGCTCCTTACCAGAGCAGGGCTTGTACCAAAATAAAGGATTTTCCATGGGCTTGGGTATTTGGGGAGCACAAATGATATTCAGTGTGATTTGGGGGCTTTCTTGGGGCATAAAGATGTGATGGGGTGGGACACACCATGTCCTGTTCATCAGCCCTCAGATTGCCAGTTTTTGTGTCCCTGGTGAGTGGGGGCTCAGGAGCAGACAGGTTTTGCTGCCTCACTGCCCGTGACCAAAATAAAACTGGCTCTGGAAAGGAGAAGGAGGCCTGCCATGCAATAGGACAAACTAGGTCAGTGATGTCAGGTGTCTTCAGCTCTGCCCTACCTTCATTTTAAAAAAAAAAAAAAAAAAAAAAAAAAAAAAAAAAAAAAAAAAAAAAAAAAAAAAAAAAAAAAAAAAAGGAAAAAAGCCAAAAAAGCCAGGAAACCCACCAAGCAGCAGCATTGCAGCTCTTTGTATTTTAGTCACCAGCATTAGACCAACTTCCCTCAGCTGCCTCTTGGAGATGCTTTAGACATGATCTACAGCTCATTATTTCCATGGGGGATGCTGAGCAAAGGAAAAATGATGAGAAAAACCACATGGTTTTGACTAGGCTCTTTTGGGTTCTGGTCTTGCACCTACCTCTAGGGTGGATGCATGGATGTCTGGGCAATTAAATTTAGAATAACACATCTCATCTTCCTCAGAAAGTGCTGCAAAAAACTGTGCAGGGAAAGAGAGGCCTCTGGCTGCCTGTAAAAGGCAAAGCCATGGCAGAGTGAGTTCTGGTAGCTGCCAGGTCCAGAGAGCCCAGGGAACCTGGAGCACAAGAGGAATAAGCCCAGTTTGTTCTCCAGCAAAGGGTGAGGTCCCTTCTGGACAGCCATGGGGTGTTTGGGAGCCACTGAGAAGATGCTGACACCAAACCATTGCTCCTGCCTTTGCTCAAGGTCTATCTGAGTGGAAATGAGGGATTCGCCTTCCTCTCCTTTCCCTGCCCCATGCTGATTTACACCATGATTATTTTCACCATGCCCTGATAAACCAGAACCGTGGCACTGGGCTGAGACTTCAATGGAGACTGGAGCACAAAGCTCCCACCAGCACGCTCAGCTGCTGCTCCAAGTGCCTGGCAGGGACAGGAGGAAGGTGCTCAGCCCCCACAGGCTCAGCTGCCATGGCAGGCTTTGGGTTTTCGGGCTGTCAGAGCAACTTCCAAACTTCTGCAGAGTTTGGGCAGAGAAATGTTGTTTATTCCACTTTAATCAAGCAGAGGCAGAAGGTGCTGAGCAGGGCAGAATCAAGCTGATGCTTTCTATTGTCTGCTACTGGCATTTGTTTTGTTATTTTGAATTATTTTAATTATTAATTGCTGTAATATATCTTTCCTCCTCCATTCACCAATTTAATACTGGCTAAAATTGTAATAAGAGAGGTTGGAGGTAGGCAGCAGGAAAGTTTCCTGCCAGCCAGAGTGATGATGTACTAGCCTTTGGCATGTTGAAGTTTCTCCATCTCAAGGGAAAAAAGAAAGTTGATTGAAAAGAAAAACAAATTAAAATAATCTGTAACTAAAGCAAATCTGAACCAGGGGAATACGAATGGGCTAAATGATCCATCTCAGTGCCAGCAGGCTGCTTTCTGTGATATTTGTAGGATGTTTTATATTTTAAAGGAAGAAGTTGAAGCCAAATCATGCTGATTGTTAAAAAATGTTAGCTGGTGTTTGTGAAAAAGCCTGTCATGGAAAGGAGGGGAAGAGCCGGTGGCTGAGCCAGCTCAGAAAAACACGTGGGGAATTTCACACTGGGAGTCACTGTGAGCTGCAGGAAAGAGCCAGAACACGTTGTGCAAAGGTCTTGACTGTTTCAATATTGCCTTGTGCCTCCCTTTTGCCCTCTCTTCTAGATATTAAAAAATGACTGTCTGCTGACAGCGTTTGATGGCAGCGGGGTGGGTTTGGGCACTGGGAATGAGGAATTCAGAGCAGTGCAGGACAGGCATCGCCTCTGCTGCCCTGTGCTATGAGCCCAGAGTCCCTTCTGCATCCTCAGCAGCCTCCCTGGGGTGGGAGTGCAAACAGCCCCTGGCTTTTGGGGTTAAATCTCTGTGAGGGATGGCCTCAACCCCCCAGAGCTGACAGGGTGCCCTGGCCGTGTGTTGCAGGCTGGATTTGGCCATGGTGCAGCTGGAGCTGTGGGCGGCCGCGGCGCTGATGCTGCTCGGGGCGGCCGTCAGCCTCTGCGTCAGGTGCCAGCTCTCGGGTAAGTGCTGCCCGTCGTACACAGAACTTGGGGAGCTCAGGAGAGAAAAAGACCCAGTTTTATTTCTGACCTCGCCATATACAGAATTCCAAAAGTGACAGTGGATTGGAGGGCGCCAGCTCTCGGGTAAGTGCTGCCTGATGCTATCGGACATGAAATGAGCACACAGAACTTGGGGAGCTCAAGAGAGAAAAAGACCCAGTTTTATTTCTGATCTCACAATATATAGAATTCCAAAAGTGACAGTGGATTGGAGGGTGAAATTGCCACCTCTCCAACCACACTGGTCAAACCAACAGTCTATCAATTCTCTCCTCCTACAAAGAACGCAAAACAATCATTATTTGCGTGAACAGTGCGTAAGAACGCTGGTAGAAATCTGTAAACATTATCAGAAGTCTACAGAAGTTTTATGAGAACCTTAAAACTTTCAAAAGAACTACAAAAGAAAACTTAACACTTTCAAAAATCAGAGCAACAGCTGGCCACCACACTGGCTGGCCTTCCCTCTTGGAATGTCCCCTGCACTGTGTGGGTTTGGTTCTGCTCAGCTGTGTACCAGGACAAACTAGGTCAGTGTTGTCACATGTGTTCAGCTCTGCCTTGCCTTCATTTTAAAGGGGAAAAAAAAAAAGAAGAAGGAAAAAAGCCAGGAAACCTTCTGGGGATGGTTGTGCTCCGTGGTGGTGGGCACAACCTTCACCGAGAGCATCGTGCAGCACCAACGGGTGGGAGCCACGAGAGCACAGCACACACAGACAGACAGACACAGACAGACACACACAGACAGACAGACACACACACACAGACACACAGACACACACACACACACACACACACACAGACAGATGAAGCAACTCAACAGTGAAGATATGGGAGGGTCCAGGCATGGAGTTCCACCAAGAGTTTATTAGCTTTAGTTTATTAGTTTTATGGAGTTCCAACAAGAGTTTATTATTTATTAACAAATAAAATTAGGGTTCAACACTGAAGGGGTCCACTGGCCAAAGACACAGACAAGGGAGGATCCAGGTTATAAATACAGGGAAGGGACCACCAGGGAATGGCAGGGTGGATGGGCAGGGTTACACAAACCAGTGGGAACACAGGGAAGGGAGAACTCTCTAGAATGTGAACACAGAAGGGAAAAAGGGTAGGGAAGGCCAATGGGGAGGACAAAACCAGGATAAATTAGCACAGTGCTGCAGGGCACCATGGGGGAAGGCTCCTTCCTCACCCTGGGCTGTGAGGAGTGCCCAGAGCCTGCAGTGATCTCTCCAGGGCACTGCTGTTATTTTCTCCCCAGCTGGCTCACAGGCTCCCACAGGGATGATCCCACAGCGTGAGAATGGAAGAGGCTCTGCCAGAGAGCCAAGAGAGAAGAAGCACCTAAAAGTGCAGCCCCCCTTCCCTGGGGCAGGTGTAGCACTGAGGTCCCTCTATGTGGTCGTGTTGTTGGGTGGTTTTGGGGCTCCACCTGGGAGCACTAGCTCCAGTTAGACAAATCCTGCAGATTCGGGACAGAAGGGCAGGCAAGGAAGGGGAGTCTGGAGGATAAATTCATATAAAGAGTAGGGAGAGCACCCAGTGGGGTTTGAGCCCCTCCCCGAGCATTGGGTGGGTTTTAATGGGGGGGAGGCTGCAGTTCGGGGTTTGGGGGCAGGACTGGCTGCTGTGCTTTGTGGAGGTTAAACAAAAACCACAATTTAAACAGTTTCAAAAAATTTAATCAAAACCCTACTGCAACTGCTGCTCACTGTTTTCTCTGTCCTGACGTGCTGAAGAAGTTTTGGGAATGTATTTTACTGGCCTTTCTGACCTCTAACTCCCAAATAATCCTTTCTAAGAGTTTTTTCTTCCTTGTCTTCCAGCTACCAAACGGGAGACACAGCTGAATGAGCGGAGGAGCCAGTAAGTTGCTTTTCCCAAACGTGTTTCTCCCCAAAACAACTCACCCAGGGTGAGCCCCAGAGCCAGACCCAAGCTGAAGTCTGGGTTTATATAAAATAAAATAAAATAATGCCAGGATGGGATGCAAGGCAGCGTGCCCCAGCCCAAGGTGCTGCTGAAGCCGCAATGCCTTTACAGAGAATAATCCAAAATGAAACTGAAGCTGACTGTGATGTTGTTGAATCATTAACTAGTTGGAAAAGGTCTGGGAGAGAAGGGCAAGTTCTTACCCTGTTCTGTTGTGCCCTGAAATGAGATGGAAAGATTATTTACTTCATGAAGAAGCCCCTGCCCTTGGCTGGTGCTGGTTGGACCACGTAGCAGAGCAAGCACTGACCTAAGCACAAGAAATGAAGGAAATGCAGTGTACACACATGCACTGCCCCTTATTTCCTTCAGCAACAGACAAACCACAGTAAATGATGTTAAAAAAAGCAAAGCTGGATTGTAAGCTTTGTTGCAGGAGATGCAATGTGGCTCTGCAGTGGCCTCCAAGGGGTTGGGGTTTTGTTTGTGTGGGGAAAGGCTCTGGAGTGATCCATTGTAGACTGAGGGAGCAGCCACTGAAGGTTCTGTCCCACAGGCTTCATCCCTCAGGGACTCTTGCTGAATTGTCCCAACTTCTTGACATTTATTCCAGGATTAGGTGGTTTGGGCTCAGGTTTGTGGTGTTGTCTGCTCTTTCTGGAGGTATGGTTTGGGTGTCTTGCAAACAAAGTGGTTTGACTCTGTGTTTGGGATTTTTGGCAGCCTTGGGCCGTGAATCCCAGCTGTGTATGGGGCAACCCCAATGAAAAAGGGGGAAAGGGTTCCCAAATTGGAATTAATAAGTACCTGTGTAGAAACACAGTGGAAAATGTGTTGAATTCTCTTGTGCTCTGAAAAGTAGCCCTCTTAATAACTAAAAAGTAAAGAGGTCACTGGGCATAGGTTATCACTGACAGCATTCTTTTAGTCGTGTTTATATTAAGGGATGATGGGAGGGGCAGAGGCAGCAGTGGAGGTGAAGCAGTTGGGTTTGAAGACATTTAATGCATCACCATCCATTTTCTAATGGGTAAAAAGGTTCTTCTGGGCTTTGGTGGCTGAAGCATCAGAATGAGAATTATCCTAAACGATGTTTTCCTCATCCCTGGATCCTTCCCTTGCATATGTTGGCTGCTCTACCAGTGGTCCTAAACCATATCCTGTCTTTAAAGGATCAAAGAATTGTCCAGAAAGGTGCTCCCAGGTCATCCAGGCCCTGCATGCATGACATGCTGAGCAGTGCAGCTTGGCATCTCACAGAGCCCAGCATGGTGCTCCCTGCCCTCCACTCACCAGTCAGGTCTCTTGTATCTGTTTTCCTTGTCATAAACCCCAAAATTCAGCTGAGGTTGTCCTGCTGTTTTTTCCAGGCTCGAAAGCCAGCAGAGATTTGAGGTGATTCGATCCCATACCAGTGAGTATGAGCACTGCATTGGTTCCTGCCTCGTGGTGTGAGGGCCCTGCATGCACAGAACAGGGGGAAAGTAATGTTCAAAGGCTCACCTTGAAGCCAGGCCATGAAATGGTGAGACCTGGATTGCCCAAGCCACCTTAGATGCTTCTAGGTGTGTGAATTCTGAGCTCCAGTAAAAAACAAAATGCTCTTTGCATTGAAAATGATTCACTAAAGCGATGCCGCTGAGAAGTGGCACCTCAGCTGCTGGGGCTCTTGGACCCTGTGAGAATGAAGGTGTGGGTGACAGGAGTGACTCATCCCTCATCCCCCTCACTGCTTCCTGCAGCAGCTCGGGTTCAGCACTGAACTTTTGGGTTTTATGCCACAAGGAGCAGCTGCAGGTCCATTGTGTGGTGTGTCCATCTGCAGATGGCTCTGCCAGGTCCATGTGAGGTGTGTCCATCTGCAGATGGCTCTGCTGTGTCCCTGTGTGCTGTGTCCATCTGCAGATGGCTCTGCTGTGTCCCTGTGTGCTGTGTCCATCTGCAGATGGCTCTGCCAGGTCCATGTGAGCTGTGTCCATCTGCAGATGGCTCCGCCCTGCCCAAGGACTCTGCTGGCTCCAAGCCCCTTGACCCCTCTGCAAATCTTTCATCTCAGCCTGACCAAAGCTCTCCACTGCCCCTTGCAGTGTGGAGGGAGGGGAATGACCCCCGAATCAAGTGGGTTTGGGGGACAGTAGGTGACAAGGCAGCGGCTGGGACTGTAGCTTCCTCCAGCGAGTGTTTGCAAGCTCTGTGGTCTGCACAGACACCACCTTTTTCTCTAGTTGTTTCTTGTTTTGACCATTTTTGAACATTCAAGGAACAATCTGGAAGCTATTTTAGGATGCATTAGTGTGAGAATCCAGGGCTTCCCTCTGGCTGCCCTGGCAGGTCTGGGACCCTGGCAGGGGTCAGGAACCCCCCTGGACAGAGCCCCCAGAGACACTGGCTGTGATCTCTGCCCATGGAAAAAGAGTTTTCAATCTTACAGGATGAATTATAAGCTCTGAGTGTTTGATATAAGTAATAATTAAGTGTGGCATGGGTGCAAAAGTAAAATTTTAGTATTCTAGATTATGGGTCCAAAGGGGACAAGATGGAGGAAATTGGGTGTGTCTTGAACTTTTTCCTCTTCTTCTCCATGCCCTCCATGTTTCACTGTGGTGTTGGCATTTTTCTGTTGGTTCAGGCTGGGGACACACTGTCCAACGTAGGTGACAGATATTGGCACGTTATTGTAAATGCAGCCCAGGGAGTTTCTGGTATTTAATGTTTGTAACATCCCACTGAGGGCAGAGCCCCACACGCTGCCCTGCAGGACAGAGCTGGGCAGGGCAGCAGAACATGTGAGAGATAAACAGAATAAACAGCCTTGGAACCAGCACAGGCCAATTATGGCTTCTGCTTTGGCAGTGGGGCAGAAAGACAGAGACTTTCTACAACCTCGGAATCACCAATAGCACAGATTCCGACACATTAGGAAAATGCTTGCCAGGGATTCCTGTCTGGTGGATGTTCTGTGCTCTTTAACATATCTGCTGCTGCCATAATAATTAACATGATAATTTTGTTGTTGTTGCCAGCTGCAACCCGAAGGCTGGAAAAAAGTAAGGAACCTGAAAAGTTATCGATAGCAAGGTAGGAAAAAACCCAAATAAAATCTAGTTATAGAGCCAGGGTTGGATGAAGTTCATCTAATATACATGAACATTTGGGATTGCATTCTGGGCCCTATAGATATGGCTTGGGCTGTATTTAAAATCAAATAATAGTTTGAGTTGCAAGGGACCTTTCAAGGTCATCTAGTCCAACCTGGTGAGGAGCAGAGACATCTTCAACTTGATTGGGTTGCTTCACTTGTTGATGGTCAATAGTATATTCAGACTTTTTCTGGTTTTTGTTCAGTATGATTGCATTCTTCTGGCAACTGATTAAATCAAACCCAGGAGAGTGAGCTGTGGCTGTACATAACAGACACATCATGGGAAGGAAATGGCCATTACTCACTTATAAGCAGTTTGGTGTGATAAATCCCCTTCTCCCCACCACCAAAATCCCCAGTAACTACACAGCCATTGTAACTCTGCTGCAATATTCAAGCATAGTTATTCCCATTTTGGGACTTTACTCCAAATTCTTAATCTCCCCCTCCTCCATGTGTGTACTTGATAACCTCACAGGGAGGTTTCATGCATGGTCCTCCTGATGGTGTGTAACTGTTGGTAGGGTTTGCTCAGACCATGGATTTTAGGTCTCTTTTCTCTCTTTCAGTAAAGCCAACGAGGAGCTCAGTGCTTCCCATCACACTGGATATGGTGAGCAGCTTCTGGGAGAGGCACAGATACAATGAACCAACCACATCTCCTTCCAATCCCCTTCCATGGGCAGGACACCTTCCACTATCCCAGGCTGCTCCAAGCCCCATCCAACCTGGCACTGGACACTTGCAGGGATGGGGCAGCCACAGCTGCTCTGGGCAGCCTGAGCCAGGGCCTCCCCACCCTCACAGGGGAAAAACCTCTCCCCAGTATCCCACCTAACTGAGTCCTCTGTCAGTGGGAAGCCACACCCTCTTGTCCTGCCACTCCCAGCCCTTGTCCAAAGTCCCTCTCCCCTTTAGAAGGGGCTCTAAGGTCTCCCCAGAGCTTTCTCTTTTTCAGGCTGAACAACCCCAGCTTTCCCATCTGTCTCCAGAGCAGAGGGGCTCAGCCCTTGGAGCATCTTTGTGCTCTCCTCTGGACTTGCTCCAGCAGGTCCTCATCCATCTTAATTTGTGTCTGTCCTGGGTCTGAGTTTAAAACCCAGTGCTCATCCTGCTGTGGCTGACCAGTCCTGGCACAGATTGTTTAAAATATCACCCCTGGCTGTCCCAACTCCTGCACCCTGCAGTGTCCATCCCTGCAGCCTGACCTCAGAGCTGAGCAGGGGTAGAGCTGCTGGTGCTGAAATACTTGGTGCCTCCCTCCATTGTCAAACTGCTCCCATCACTCAGCTTGAGTTCACGTGTAATGTGCCCCTCTCTTGTCCCCAGGGAGCAGGGACGAGGCCAGGTACCAGAATTTCCTGGCAGGTAAATGCTGCAGCCTTATGCCTCGGGGTGTGGGAAGGAAGGCTGCCCAGGGGATGGGAGGTCCCAGGGGATGGGAGCTGGCAGGGAGCACGCAGGCAGCCAGCACTGCAGCTGGCAGAGCTCTGGCTCAGTCAATTTAGAGATTGCTTTGTAAGACACACACTGATCTGATTAATGGGCAGAGCGGAGGGGGACGGATGCTCCCTCCCGGGCAGTGTGAGCTGGTGTTTGCCCTAAGAGGATTATTGGTGTGTGGGGCTGTGCTCTCCTTTCCCAAGCCAGGGAGCATATTCCCCATCTCCTGCCAGCTGGCAGGATGTGTCCCTGAGAAGCTGTGAGCCGGGGTTTTCCCAGGACCTGGGGTGGATCAGGGCTACCTCCCTGTGCTCCAGCCACCTGGCTCAGCTGTGGACAGGCTCTGGGGCTGTGCCAGGGCTTTGTGGCTGCTGGGGATGTCAGCTGTGGTTGTGCTGGGGGTGTCCAGCTGTGCCCAGGGATGGCTGTTCAGGTTGATGCCTTGGTGGGGTGCTGACAGCAAACCCTTGTTCCTGCAGAGAACTGCCTGCAAGAAGATACTGCCTATGTGTAAGTACCCTGTGCTGCTGCCAGCATGGTCCAGTGGAGCCATACTGGTCCCAGTGCTGTCCTGGTGCTCCCACAGCTCAGCCTGGGAAGCCTGTGCTGGGCAGGAGGAGCTGACAGTGCTGCTCTCCTCACAGGGAGCCCATGTCTCTGGATCACTACTACAATTGCACCAGGCTCTTCAGACCACCCTGTGGTAGATCTCCAGACAAGCCAGGTGGGTTCCTTCATCCAGCCTGGCTGTCCTGTGGCTCCAGGGAGCTCGTGAGACTGTTCTTGCTGAGGTCTGTGCATCACTGTGCATGGCCTGAAGGAAGTGTGGGTCCAGGGGACACATTCATTAATATGTGCAGCATGGGTGGCATGGGTAGCATTAATATCTGTAGCATATGGGTGTAGCTGTGGGATTTGAGGGATATCCAAGCCCCTATCAGTCCATCTGTTGCCCATAAACAGCACAGCCCAAAATCATTGGTGACTGTGCTCCTGTGGGAGTGACCACCCAACTCCATCCCTTGGTCACCACAGGCTGTCACAAAGACTAACCATTTTTTAGCTAATCTATATTTAATTGTGGGAAACAGACCCCTCCTGCAGGTGCTGAGGGATCTTCCCAGGTCACTTACATTTCCATAGGTCCTTTGTCACTCCTCTTTCTTCTTTGCATCAGAGAAAGACGAGGATTCCTATTCCTATGAAAATGTCATCATTGGAGTGTCTCAGGGTTCTGATCCAGGTAAGTGTGCTGCTGTCACGGGTCATGTGTGTCACACAAAGTGCAGAGAAGGAGGTGACCTGCTTAGCCAAGAGAAACCTGCTTGTTCACAGCTCAGCTCTTCCTACCAGCTCTGTGGCACACAGGGGCTGCTGCAGGCACAGAGCAGGCCTGGAACATTTCCCCTTTCTGCAGGAAAATGCACCTGGTGATACCTCCACCCTGATGCTTTTGACTTGGTGGTTTCTGCAGCAATTCAGGAGCTTTGAGGTCTGCATATTTAGGTTTTTAGTGTTGTTTTGGCCAGGATGGTTCTAGGTTCTAGCCCCTAGCTCAGGTTTCTCACCAAATCCAGCACAAGAAGGCTGAAGCCGGGAAGTTTCTGGAGGATGACACTGGACCACAGTGTTTCTTCAGGGCTTCCAGCATCAGTCCTGGGGTGTTGCAATCAAAATAGGAAGTGAGTTTTGTTTCTTTCTGTGATCTAACACACGCTTTCTGCACTGCTGGAGCCTACCCTGCTCGTGCTTGGCTTTGTGCAGAGTGATTAGAGGAGGCAGGAGCAGCAGGGACCTGTCTGATCCCCATCTGTGCCTGCAGATACCCAGGCACGTGGCCAGGGCTGGAGGGATGATGGGGCAGCATCAGCAGATCTGGGCTGGCTGGAAGCTCAGCCATGGGCACGGCGCAGCCGGGGGCAGTGCTGGGAGGGGGTTCACAAAGGCCCCTCTTTAGTCCATTTGCTGCTCAGTATCGTCCTGTCCAAACTCTTCCTTGTCACAGATGAGGCTGCAGACTATGAGAACAGCATGACAATACTCACATGGAAACTCCAGCAAGGGCAAGGTACGTCCTCAGCTGTTATTTGCTCTTTGGGGCTTACTGGCCTGGAGCACTAGGCCAGTATAAACCATGCAAGGGCAATGCAGCCATCACCCGTGTCTTGAGTTATGTTTTTTCCCCAATTGTCCATGATAAATATCCAAGGCAATGTGCAAATTGTAGCACACTCCTGTAACTGAATGCTGCTCTGTTGGGATGTGGTGTCTGTCGTACTCAAAAAGGCACCTTTGGGTGGCTGTGCCTAAACCCTGACCATGGGATGCTACAGAAAAATGTTGCTCTTTAGGTCTTATATCCTCTTACACTTGAGGTTGCCCCAGAGCAAGCACAGCTGTGTAATCCCCTGTGCCACAGAACTGTGTGCACACACCCTGTGGGCCAGCCCTTGACTCTCCTGCTGTAGTCAGGGGCCCTATTTCTCAAGCTGACCTTTTAACCACACTTGAATTTAACATGTGGCTTCCTGTGAAGCATGAGGGGAGTTCTGGCCTGGGGGACAGTGGGGAATGTACACATATATTTAAGAGCTTTGTGTCTCTGGTGTGAAAGTTGTCTAAGAAAAGTGATTCCTGTTTGCCTACTCTCTAGATAAAATGCTTTTTGGCTCTGAAGAGCTGCCCAGAGTGTTTTCAAATTTGCTGTGATCATTTTGAAGCCTCTTCAAGGAGATCTTGACACTGATCTGAGTTTTCTTAGCCCAGGCACAAAAACATGTCAGCAGCAAAGGCTAAAGATTGGCAGGACACACGGTGTGTCAGTGGTCTGTGTGTTTTTACATCGTGTTTTTACACCTCTCACTGATAAGTGCTTCCCACCCTCACCCACAGCCCCGGTGACAGAAAGCCTGGATGATGAGCCAGACTACATCAACACAGGTCCTGCTGTCAGAGCAAAGGTAGAAACAGAGTAAATGGTTGGTGTGTTAAGGTAGGGTGGAAGGATTTGGTTTATGGTGTTTATTTCGGGTGGGAAGATTTGGTTTATGCCAAAGGGAGTTCAGCTGGAGCTCTGCCCTTGCTGGCAGCACCAGCACAGCAGCCCACATGGGCATGGAGGAGTGTGAGGAGCCCACCCTGTGCAGTGCCTCATCTCTGGCTGGTGCCAAGCTGACTAACACGGATCATGGAGACAAATTTGTCCAAGTCCATGTCCCAGCTCCAGCGCTGCCCTCCTCCAACAGGCACAAGAACTCCAAAGTGCTCTGGAGCAGCTGGAGCCAGCACTGCTCCATGCTGTGGACAGGGACACCCAGAGCCCCTGCTCTGGGCAGGGATTCCCTCAGCTGAGCCCTGCCTGCTGTGCTAAGACCACACATCCTGCCCCATTATCACCACCAGCCTGATGTTGCTGATAAAGAATTACTCAAGGTAGATAAAGTGAAAAAACTGCAGAGAGCTGCAGGAAGGTTGTATGACACTGAGGGACAGTGAATGATGTGCTGGTCAGTGCTGGACACCCTGCTCCACACTGGACTAGGGACCAGTATTGCTCTCCTGGTTGGGTTTTTACCCTTTTGAGCACCTATGGAGGCTCATTGGGATTGTCCTTATGCCATGTGCCAGCTGCTCTAGTTTTATAGGGCTTTATATCCCCAGAGTGTAAGAACCAGCAGTGGGCAGACTCCCAAAACTGGATCTTTCTGAAGCCATGCAGAATACTTAAGATTTATCCCCACCATGCAAAGCACAGTCATCCTATTCTGCACACTAGGGCATTTGCTTCTGCTGGATGTAGCTGGATGTGGAAGAACCCAGCCTGAGAAACCTGAGCATATCTTGCTGCCAGGCATCTTTTTGCCGTTATAATTATGCCTCTGTTGTAGCCTTTGCTAGCAGAGTAATATTCTGAAATCTCAATGTCCAACCAACAAATGCCAGCAGAAGTTCTCCACCAAGGGAGGCTGAACTGAGAAATGGGCTCCTGGTGCCCCTGTGCCTCCTGCTCTGATCAGGGATTATCCTCCAGGAGCACAACTGGGGTATGTCACTGTTTGTCTCTGGAAAGAAAATGTAGCAGGCAGCAGAGTTAAGTTGAAAGCAGGGATGAAAAGTCAATGGACTCACTGTTTTTTCTCCTCTTATTTCAAGTATTCTGCATAAAGACTGAAGAAATCTTCTGCTGAGCTGTAAGAGTGCACCCAGTGAACATGCACACAGGGAGAGAGGAGATTTCCATCCCTCAGTGAAATCTCTTCTCCAAACTGTGCCTGCAGTGACATAGAAGGGGTGTTACTGAAAGAACTGCACTGCTTGAAGGCCCACAGAAGTCCAACTGCAAACCAGCAACTGGAGAGAGCACTCTGCCCCCAGTGACCATGGGCAAGCCCCAGGCTCCTCATCCCAATCTCATTTTCCTGCATGTCCACTCGAAGATGGCCAGTCTGGGCAATGTTTTCTCCAGTCAGGCATGAAACGAATCCTTAACTTGCTGAGCAGTAATGCAGCCAGCTACTTAATTTGTCAGGGTGACTCATGCACGAAGGTATTAAACCATAGGGATTACATTCTGATTTAGTTCCTGTGCTCTCCTATAGAAGCAGTTTCCTACGTGAGAGGAACTGGCGAGGCAGAGGTGGTGTTTATAACAGCAGTGGTTGTCTGGAGCTGAATGAGATTCCAACCTGTTGACAAAAGCTAAAGAGGATTAAATGCCTGCCTTATCCATGGGCATGTAATTCACAGTGTTGGTCTATGGCAGTTTTCCTCATGTTTCAGTATCTGTTTTTAAAATGATACAAAGAACAGCAGAAACTGTGAGAGTCAGATCCGCAGCCACCAGCCTCAGAAACTGTACCAGTCCCTCAAATGGCTGTTGGAACATCTTCCCAGAAACAGAATCCCTATCTCCTGAGCCCTGATGTACAGATCTGACACTTCTGGAACACTTATTAAAACTGAAAAGCTTCCAAAGAAAATGGGGTGTTTTGCTATGGTTTGATATGATAGATGTCTGCATGATCAGGTGACATAGAAATGGGAGGACATGAGGTGACATGGAGTGATGTGCAGGATCTTATGGGGAAAAAATGCATTAAAAGCCTTCCTCCTCAAAATCAGATCAGAAAACTGTTTCAGGAAAGAGCACAGCCCACACTCATGGTGAGTGAGCAGAGAAGGGGAGCTAAGGGTTAGAGAGCTGTGGTGTGGGAGAAGAGATGTCAGGTGCTTCCTGCTGCAAATGACTTGGCTCTAATTTTAGCAGAACCACCAAGAGAGACCACAGGTGCCCACCACTGGTGTAGCTGAAATGGTGGGTGGGTTGGAGTTTGCCTCAGGAGAAGATTTACTAGTGGTTCCAACAAATGCTACAAGTTTCCACAGGACTTTTACAACAGAGGAAATCTAGTGCACTTCAGGGATGCACACAGGCAAGGAGTTACAGCCTAGTTTTCTGCTCACCCCAGCCCAGCTTCTCCTCACACCCTTAGGTTTCCTGATGGTCAAATGCTCTGCAAAAAGTCTGCAGTGCATGGCAGCAGGGTACCCATGAGCCAGCAGCACAGACAGTGACTGTGCTGGCTCTGCACAGGCTCCCAGGCAGGCAAAGGGTGCTTTTGTCACTGAAATTGTGTCTGGACCTCACAGGGCTATGAGGCTGTTGGGATTCATCCTCAGCACCTGAAGAAGCTTCCTCTTTCCATGAAGTGATGCAGTCTAGATTGTTCACTGCAAGGGTGAGCTCGTTGGTGATGTCTGGTGATGTTACCCACTGGTGATTCATCTCCCAACCAAATGAGCCATTCATGAATGGGAGATTAGCAGCAGTGACAGATCCTTGGCACACAGCAACAGATCCAGCTGGAGACCTTCCAGAAAGTTCTAGGCATTAGGTCAGTGCATGGTCAAAACATGAAAATACAAGATTTATTGTTCTCCTCACTAAGCAGGGAGGCAGATTGCACCAGTTAGATTTTCTTGGTACAAGGTTCCTCCACTGAGTTTGAAAGTTGTGGAGCCAGAGCAGGCAGGGCAGAACTGGATGTGGAGAATCTTCCCTTCTCTTAGTGGGGTCTGAGCAAATCCTTGTTTGCAGCTCTCCAGAGCAGTCAGCTGTAGTGAGGCGTAAATCCTTTGTAAAGCTTCTGGAGCACTTCTCAGCCAGTCATCTCATTACACTGGAAGGTATCCAGGGACTGTTTCAGGAACTCTCATCAATAATGTTTGTTATTAGTCTTGCTCTGAACAACCTCACTCCTTTTCTCTGCAATGAGTAAGTACAGATGTGTGTGTTCACTGACACGCTGTCCTTTTGGGACTGGCTTTAGGTGTGCAAGGGTTTCTGGTGCTCAGCCAGAATTGCTAGACACTGTTGTTTGAACCTAATGCAAGGAGACTTATATCTCCCCTGGGTCCACCTCTCCCCACTTTAGGTAGGCAGTTAAGTGAGAAATTCACTTCCTGTTTTCAATTTAAGGTGCTTTAGAGAAGTAGTTCTGGCTGGTGCAGCTCTGAAAATGGAGCTGGGGAGTCTGTGCCAAGTGCTGGAAAGCAGCAGCTCTGAACTCAGAGGGTGAACGAACACCTGTGGAGAGCAGGAGGTGTTGGTGGCCTCTGGGATCAACACTAGCCCTCACCTTAGGAAAAGTGAGTGTGATTATGTCCCTGCAGAGCTGGAAAGGATTAGCCCAGAGGAGAGTCTGCTCCAAACTGGAGCTGTGAAATGCAGCTACTGAATACAGCTGAGAAGAAACCCTCTGAAACCAGGCAGGAACAGGAACCATGACCCTTCATGTTCCTCACCTGTCCACTGGCACCACCACTGTGGGCAGGCACTTCCCACAAGGTTAAGGACTGGCCTTGAGTCATCCAAATATGGTGTTTTCTGGTTTATGAAACATCCATGGCAACACCTCTCCCTTCCCCATTCCAATGAACACATTTAATGAGAAAGCAAAGACAGAGTAGGCTGGCTGTGATGTGCAGTCAAAGGAAACTTAACCTTATTTAAATTTTTGGGGACAAAACTTGTGGTGCTGTGTCTGTAGAGAACTCAGCAGCTCAAGCCACCGTACTAAACTATTAGTTGTGTATTTAATAGTTTGGGTTGATAGTAACTTTGGGTGGGAACCAAAGCCCAAGTTCAATACGTATCCAGTGAAGAATGTACTTTGAGCATTACATCCATTATTCCAAGTGCTGTTTGCTGCATTCCCTGCACTTCAGCTGCCAACTTCCTTGCTCTCCTGCACATTGAATCACAAATGTCTGCAGGCTCTGCCAGAGGAGCTGCAGGAAGACTTGAGGGGAAAGTCATGATGCCACCGTCTCTTGCTGCTGAAACTTGTGACCCCTTTGGCTTGTCAGAGAATGGAGGGGTGTGCCCAGCCCCGGCCTCAGTGCTGGACCAGTCCCCAGGCTGGAGCCAAGTGGTGCTGCCAGGTAACATCCATTTGGCACCGAGACTGTTGCAGTGGGGAACCAAACACTTGGGGTGGAAATCATCAACAAAATGGGCAGAGTGGAGTGCAAGCACCAGCAGCTTGTGCCTCTTCATTCTTTTGTGCAACTGCTGTAACCAGACCATGCTTAATTGCAAGGCCTTTGACACTGTGTCCCACAGCATTCCCTGGAAAAGCTGCAGCCCACAGCAGGGACAGGAGCACTCTTTGTTGGGTTAGGAACTGGCTGGGTGGC